GTTACCCAGGCTGTAGTGCAATGGCGCGATCTCGGCTCACTGCAACCTCTGCCTCCTGGGTTCAGGCAATTCTCCTGCCTCAGCCTCCTGAGTAGCTGAGATTACAGTCACGCACCACCATGCCCAGCTAATGTTTTGTATTTTTAGTAGAGACACGGTTTCACCATGTTGACCAGGATGGTCTCGATCTCTTGACCTCGTGATCCACCCACCTTAGTCTCCCAAAGTGCTGGGATTACAGGCGTGAGCCACCACGCCCGGCCTACTCTTGCTTTTTTATAAATACTTACAAAGGTAGATTTAGGGAAGAGGGATGAACAATATTGTTATATTTGGCTGTGTATGTAACCTGCCTATACCCATGAATGGTGAAACCCTAATGAAAACCATGGTAATGCCTGTCTCCTGTTTTCCTAGTCAGTCTTGTCCTTATTGTAAGACCATTTACATTAAGAGCATATATTTCGTTCCAGTGGAAATGTGGATATTTTCTTGTCTTTCTTTTAACTCATGACTCTGTATTTTACTCCCTCTTCTATTTGATTTCTCCAGTTTCTGTGTCAGTTCTAAAAACCTTTCTGTCCAGAATCTACTTCTAAATAGAAACAATCAAGAACAAAACATCAAAATGGCTTTTGTAAGACCAAATTGAAATCTTATGTCTCCAGAGGTTCTTTTTGCTGATTACATCTCTTTGCAGTTTCCCATCCACCCAGTGATGTGGTTCACGTTGTTTGGGGGTTTCTGAACATTGGTAGGTCATAAAGATGCCTGCAGAAAAGGAAGAGGTTGTAGGTCCCATGTAGTCTTTGCATTTTGGGGAGATGGGTTCTTGGTTTGCCATCTCAGCTCCTGATACTGACTATTTTGTTACTGAGCATATAGTTCCAAAGCTGGACATAATTTTTTTTGAAACGGAGTCTCGCTCTGTCACCCAGGCTGGAGTGCAGTGGTGTGATCTTGGTTTATTGCAACCTCTGCCTCCCAGGTTCAAACAGTTCTGCCTTAGCCTCCTGAGTAGCTGGGATTATAGGCACCCACCAACACACCTACTTAATTTTCATATTTTTAGTAGAGGTGGGGTTTCACTGTGTTGGCCAGGCTGATCTCGGCCTCCTGTCCTCAGGGGATCCAACCACTGCAGCCTCCCAAATTGCTGGGATTACAGGTGGGAGCCACTGCACCAGGCCTCAGAAGTAGTTTTGTTTTTGTTTTTTTTTTGTTTTGTTTTTTTGAGACGGAGTTTCACTCGTTACCCAGGCTGGAGTGCAATGGCACGATCTCGGCTCACTGCAACCTCCGCCTCCTGGGTTCAGGCAATTCTCCTGCCTCGACCTCCTCAGTAGCTGGGATTACAGGCACGCGCCACCATGCCCAGCTAATGTTTTGTATTTTTAGTAGAGACGGGGTTTCACCATGTTGACCAGGATGGTCTCGATCTCTTGACCTCGTGATCCACCCGCGTTGGCCTCCCAAAGTGCTGGGATTACAGGCTTGAGCCACCGCTCCCAGCCCCAGAAGTAGTTTTAACTGTGTGTTTAAGCCTTGAGATCTTTGAGATCCCTATGTAGGTAGGAAAGTGAATTGGTGATTTACCTCTTTGTTGACGTTAATGAAGTGTTATTAGCTCATCCTTAGGAAGGCAAGCAAGAGAAGACAGGAATTTCATATTTACTAGTTCTTTTACTATTAGACTGAAGGGAATTTTTTTTGGATTTTAGCTGCCTGTCCTCCCAAACTATATACGAATGACTTGATTGTATCTCCTGAATTGCCTTTGTTTGATAAAGAAGATGTATATTTTGTCTTTTTAGAATATTAAACATAAGCGTGATCATGGGGGCTCACGCCTGCAAGCTGGGTACATTGGGAGGCCAAGACAGGAGGATTGCTTGAGTCCAGAAGTTTCAGACCAACCTTGGACAACATAGCGACATTCTGTCTCTACAAAAATTACAAAAAATTAGCCAGATGTGGTGATGCATGCCTGTAGCCCCAGCTTTACCCCAGGCAGTCTGTAATGAGCTGTGATCACGCCACTCGGGTGACAGAGCGAGAAACTTTCTAAAAAAATAACAGGCCATGCTCGGTGCCTCACGCTTGCAATCTTAGCACTTTGGGAGGCTTAGGTGGATAGATTGTGAGGTCAGGAGTTTGAGACCGCCCTGGCCAACATGGTGAAACCCCATCTCTACTAAAACGTATGAAATTAGCTGAGTGTAGTGGCGTGCGCCGGCAGTTCCAGTTACTTGGGAGGCTGGGGCAGTAGAATCACTTGAACCCCGGAGGCAGAGGTCGCAATGATCCAAGAGCACACCACTACACGCCAGTTTCAAATTTAACACTTTGACTTGGTGCAGCGTAGGAATTTATTTGGGTAATTTTGCATCCAGTTAACCTAATCATGACATCGAAGTGGCTTCCAAAAGCATTGGTATTTGAGGGAATTCGTAGCCACCATTCACCCCTCATGAATACGACACAGTGATTTTATATAATGAAATGTTATATTCTGTTTTTACATCTAGCTTCTCTGGTTGTGTTTTCTCCTCTGATTGTCTTGTCTGGTCTCTCTTCCTTAGCAGTGGGTAGGTGTTTTTATTTTACTTATTTTTTTGTTCAATTCTTGGAGGTGTTTTTGTTTTTTTCTCAAAAGATATTCATGAGATTTAAAAAATCCTGATGTGTTCTGTTTCGCATCATCTTCCTGTTGGGGGAGTTTGCTTAAGATACATTTAATAAGGCACAGATGATCTTGGACATATTTGAAAAATAAATTTAAAATGGCAGTAGTGATGAGTTGCTTCATTTTTCTCGTCAGTTGTGAGGATTTAGGTTCAGTCTTCATTGCGGTGTTCCTTCTGGAAAGGGTGAGGGTCCAGGCCTGTGATTGAGCTGTCTATCTTCATCCACCAGGTTCTCCTGCGCTGCCCAACAGCATGGTGTATTTTGGAAGTTCTCAGGATGAGGAGGATGTCGAGGAGGAAGATGATGAGACCGAAGATGTCAAAACAGCCACCAACAATGCTTCATCTTCATGCCAGTCAACTCCCAGGAAAGGAAAAACCCACAAACATGTTCACAACGGGCATGGTAGGTCCCCCGTTGAGCTTGGGTAACAAAGAATCCGCTTTGGGTGAGAGCTGGAAGAGAGCCTCTGTTGTAGAGAGACGAGATGAAGGCAAACCTTATTCTGGGTACTTTTCCAGGGCCAGACTCTTCCTGGGGAAAGGGATTAGTGCAGCATTTTGTAGTGCAGGTGTTCTCGGCGAGTGTAGATTCTTATGTTGTGGTGGTGACGGTAAATTGTAATAGCTAATAGGCATCAGAACAGGAAAAGACCACATCTACATGGGGATGGTCAAGAAGATTTGGTGAAACAACATCTGTGCCCCCCTTTAATTACTGATGTCGTTTTGGCATGTGGATATGGTATAGGAAGAAAACGATCATTCCTCCTATGGAACTGCACATACATTTTGAAGTGGACTGATTTTCCCCTTGAGTGTATATTGTAGAGGGGGAGGATAAAGGGCAGGAACAAAAGTTTGGGTACCTCTTTTGGTTAAAGAAAGCACCCAGTGGTGGTGGTGTTTGTTTGTTTGTTTTGAGACTGAGTTTCACTCTTGCTGCCCAGGCTGGAGTGCAGCAGCGCGATGTTGACTCACTGCAACCTCTGCCTCCCAGGTTCAAGCGATTCCCCAGCCTCAGCCTCCTGAGTAGCTGGGATTACAGGCATGTGCCACCACACCCGGGTAATTTTTTTATATTTTCAGTAGAGATGGGGTTTCACCATGTTGCTCAGGCTGGTCTTGAACTCCCAACCTCAGGTGATCCGCCCACCTCGGCCCCCCAAAGTGCTGGGACTACAGGTGTGAGCCACCTCGCCCGGCTAGCACCTAGTCGTTTTTCAGTGGATGAATGACTTGGAATTGTGCCCTAAAAACATAAAGCTAGCATTGATGATGAGGATTTCTTAAAGGGAAATAACTTGAAGAAATGCATAGTGATGTTGTAACTGTAGGCAATTCCTGACCAAAGGTAACAAGTGTTACTAAACATTGGTTGTGCAGTATACATTGGAGAATGTAGAACAGGTATAAAAAGGAGTGATTTCAGAGGTCGAACAGAGATAGCCCTGAAGTAATTGGAATCGCACTGAGTGGGGGAATGAGCGTAAGAAAAGAGGAAAGAAAGAGGAGAGAAGCAGAGAGAATGGGATTCAGGATGTGTGGCTGTTTTCTGTTTCCCTCCTACCAGCTACTCCACTAGACATACATTACTTAGGACCCACTGAGACCCTTCTCTGTAGAAGCAGAAAATCAGTGCTGTCTGGAAGTGGTTGAGGCAAAGGAGAGCTGCTCATTTTTCTCCTCAGTGCCTGTGATCTGAGCTGTCATTTGCCTTTCTGGATTCAGTGGGAAATATTCAGGACAAGCACGGCTTAGACATGATTGAAATCTCCGTCTAGCTTTTAGTATTGTTGGGCATTTTTGCTCTCTCCACTCAACAGTTGTTTATCTGGCTTGCCTCTTGCTTAGGTTGTGTTTAGGTGACACATATGCATAGTGGAGGGTTCCATCTCTTTTTAAGGACCTACAGATTAATTGGGGAGATGGGACAAATACAAAATGTAACTAAATGTTAACCTTTCGGGAGATGATCATTATCTGCGATTGTGGCTATCAGGGCATCTGGATGGTTGGAAGAGAGATGTGTACAGATGAAATTTCTAGGGAAGAACAAGAGATGAGGAATAATGCCTGTTTTTCGGACGGTTGCCTTTTGTCCCGCCCATGTGGAGGTCTGTTCTGTGGTGACCTGGCAAGACCTGGGCAGGAGATAGAATTCTGATAACAGAATAGGGAACTGTTGATGATTTTAGATGTGGTAGTAAGAGCAAATGGGTCAAGTTCTGAAGACGCCTCTTGCAGCAGAGTTTAGTTTGCAGTAAAGGAAAAAATGATTGTATCCAGAGTATTCCATCCAGGCAACAGCTGATGTGAACTTGGATTTGAGAAGATGCAGTGGGGATATCTGTTCCCAGGGGCCTGCAGAGATGGGGTGAAGGTAATTGAATAGGAATTAGGAAGGGGTCGATTTGGGAATGGCAATAACTTTATAATCTTTTGAGTTTGTGTTGTTGGTGAATGGCAACAGAATTACTGAGAATACATCAGGAATTTATTATTTTGGAGCTGCTGGTTGAAGCTGCCTGAATAAAGTTTTTGAAATATAATATGGATAGAAAGGAACTTCCTGAGAACTTTTTCTTCTTGTGAAGGAATTTAATTTTCTAGTTTTCTTTTTGGTTGCATACAGATTCAAGAGGAAAGAAATATAAACAAAACATGAAATTACTCTCATCTATTATTTTCTGCATGGCTGTTTCATATCTGTTTCATCGGTGTAGTATCAGATTGGGTCCTTTGCATAAGTTGTTTTTCACCCTTTTACGGTGATTGGGCAGGTGAATTTATCTGACGTCTTGATCAGTTGAGTTCATCCCATGTATACTACTGCAGTTGCCCTGGGGTCCCCACCTCCTTTGTTTTCCAGCATGTTTGAGCTTGATGTGGAGACATTGGATTTATTCGCTGATTTTTTTTCCTTTTTTTTTTTTTTTTTTCCCCCCTCATGAATTCATTTTGTTTGTTGGTTGGTTTGCTGGTTGGTTGGTTGGTTTTGAGGCAGAGTCTTACTCTGTTGCCAAGGCTCGAATTCAGTGGCACGGTCTCAGCTCAGTGCAACCTCTGCCTCCCAGGTTCAAGCCATCCTCCTGCCTCAGCATCCCAAGTAGCTGGGACTACAAGCATACACCACCATGCCCTACTAATTTTTGTATTTTTATACAAAAATTAGTAGATTTGGGGATTCATCATGTTGGCGAGGCTGGTCTTGAACTGTTGACCTTGTGATCCGCCCGCCTTGGCCTCCCAGACAGAGTGCTGGGATTACAAGCGTGAGCCACTCTGACGGCTGGATTCAGTTTTTAACGTTAAGAATCATCATCTGCATGGATCTTAGCTATTTGCAGGGGCAGTGACTATCTGGCAGCACATCACATGGAGCATGTGAAGGAAGGGGTGGAATGAGGGACAGGGGATAGGCTGAATACTCACCTAACGGAAGGCATAACGATTCTACATTGACCAGTGTCATTGCCACTAGGAGTCAAGGAAAGTGTAACTATCTGTAGATATATATCTAGGTGCATTTATACACAGATAAACTTCTGAGGTTTGAAAATCTTCAGGAGATTCTATTTTTTCATGATTTATTTGTTTGTTTGTTTATTTTTCTGTCCTTAAAATCTATTCCCAAGGTTTCACTATGTTAAACAGTTAATAATGTTTGTCTGAAAATACCACAGCTATTGAAAATCGTTTAAAATACTCACTTTGGGGATTTGCTTGTTAATTCAGGTATTTCTAGAAACATTGTTGGGATGTTTTTGTACCCTAATGAATTTCGATGGTCTGTTGGTGAGAGGCTGGTAGGATAGTGTGAGTCCTGGCTCCGGGTTGGGGGACTAGCAGGACCACTTGGAATGAGGGGTCTCAAGTAAGCACCGACACACCCGCCGCCTCCTCTGTTTCCTGAATTGTGCCCATGACCTCCCTCCATTCCCTCTTCCTCCCTGGCTCTTCTGTCATCCTTTCTTTTACAATAGAGTCGCAGCATCAGGTAGAGGAGCTTGCAGGAAGCATGCCCAGATCAGCCGGCCTTAGTCAGGGCACTAATTTGACTGAAACTTACAAACCTTTCTGTGCTTCATTTTCTGAGTCTTGTAGATAACCAAACTGAAAGGCCCTCTTCACATCCCTGAGCAACTGGTTTGTAGCTTTAGTTAAATTGAGGACATCTGTGATTAGCCATGCCCTCACTCTCCAAGCCTCTACCATTTTGATGAAGTTGTATTTGAGTTGTGAGTGGGTGGATTTCAACCCCATTAGAGTCCCTCAACTGCCATCTTTGGAGAAGCCATGGGGCTGTGCAGTCTGTTTACCTGCACCTGAACTTCAGGGGGAAGTTTGATGTGGGGGATGGTTGTAGGCCCAAGAGACCAGACTGCAGCCATTCCTGCTGTCCCGTTCTGTTGTCCAAAGTCCCCAGCCACATCCCTGTTCAGTCTGTGTTAGGCCTGCCCGTTCCTGGAGCAGGCTCTCCCTTCCCTGGGTGTGTCCCTCTGCAGTTTAGTTCATGGCTCTTCAGCAGAGTCATAGAGAAGTTTGAATCTTAGTCTGAGGTTTTTCTTTTTGTTGCTATGCCTGGGCATTTTTTAGATCTTAAACAAACCTGGTCAGACAAATTCCATTTCCCATGGGGAATTCAAAAAACCAAGCAAGTCAGAGAGACACAAGCACGAAACCAACTCCACTAGAATTTTTCCTACAAAATCTGTGACTTTTCAGCAAATGTGAGTACCTGTAAGTGTTAGGAAAGATTTCATGTTTACGTGTTCCTGAAACTGCTGCATTTGTGGCGGATTTGGAGGTAGCCCAAACTGATTTCATTGGGATAAGTGTTGAAACATCTTTGCCGTCTTAACAATGGTGAATGATATTAACCATTTCTAGAGTTACCTTTTCTTTCCTAAATCAAATAAATTTAACTTCTATTTAAATGAGAAACATGTTAGCTCCTGTGCTGACCTAAGTTCTCTGGATGATAGCACAGTTGAACACGGCCATAGGATCTACGCACAAGGAGCTAATGGGATATGATGTCTCCCAGCACATCTGTCAGAAATGTCATAAGACATTCAGTTCTATCTGTGTTTCTCCTGATGACACAGGTTTTAATGTCTTGTTCATCTTTGTCGTTTCCTGTCACTTGGTGCCACTCAGGTGACTTGGTCTCCCTATCCCTTGTCTTCTGGTGTGTGCCCCACACATTTTGTGTTGCCCCACACATTTTGTATTGCACCACCCATCTCTCACACCTTTGTACCAAGGTCCTTAGTCTGGGGGTTGTGGGCTTTTGGCTGGAAGCAGTTCAGATACTGCAGTGATAGTTGGGGTCCATTGAGAAAGACATTGTGTAGTTTTTGTGTATGTTTGAGGGTTTTGTGTATTCGTTGTCCCTTTGTA